TGAAGACGCAACTGGATGTCGAAGTTCCTGCCTTAGCTGCCTGGATCTATCACCAAGTGCAGGCTCCATAGTCTCGTTTACCCGCGACTACATCCACAATTTCCGTGTCTCCACTCAGATGAGGCTCCTTCCTTCTGGAAATTTCGGACGAAGGCTTCGCCACTGTCTTTTCTGGGGAAAAGGTTAACGTCGAATCTTGTCAGTTATCTCGATCTCGAAGCCAGTAGTTGTGATTCTATGTGCAGTTCTCGCCGAGATGGGAGGGACGGACCAGTCTGCTGAATAACGGCGGAGAGACCGCTAGACGAGCAGGTCGACCACGGTACTGCACAATGCAGTCGCTGCAAGAACCGTGATCACATGTCCACTCTACGCAGGGACACGAGAATGACCGTGACGACGTCAAGAGGCCCGGGGGTTGGGGTTGCATTTACGGGATCTGGGACATGCACCAATGGCAAGCATGCCCACGAAGAGCGTCATAGATCCGATCTCGCCAGCAGCAGAAGCACGGTTACCTTTATGGCGTCACCAGTGAGAGAGGCCCAGCGGCGAAGCGGAACCTGTGCACGAACTCTACATTCCATACGGGTCATTCCATCATCGGAAGCTGGGTGGTGGGGGGCTTGGCTTGGGGCGAAGGTGCCAGCCAGGACGATACATGCGGCTGCAGATGCGCACCAGAGCATGATATGTAGGCCAGGCCTGGAGTGTCTGCAGCCACTCGCACTTGCATTCCCATCCATGCACGCGCGCGTTCGTGGAGTTTCCGGGCTAGCAACCAGTGCAGTCGTAGACCCGCGTGGAATCTAAGCTTCCACTTCCGTCGATTGCTGCTCGAGGTGAATTCTCTTCTCCGCGGCGTTCACCGAGCTACAGAAACGGAATCTGCAGACTGACTGGCCCAGAGTGGAGGGAGGAGGACCTGCTGCCGAGACAGATGGTCCCAATGGTCCCAATGGTCCCGATGCCCGGACAGAAAGTGGGCTCTGTATTCCCTTTGTCGCAACCGGACTGGTGTTTTCGCCCATGGAACCAGAAACGCGAATCGCAGTCGAAACGAACTCTCGCGGTCTTTGACTCTGGCCCTGCTCGCTGCTGCAGCCGAGGAGCCAGCCGGGGAGCTCGAATGCTCGTACTGGATGGCGGCTGCCGGACCTGACACGCCTCCGGAGTCCCGTGCTCGTGCTGCCTCGCTGCCTCGTGACTCGGACGCCCATGGCGGCGCTTCCTGCGAAGGAGGTGGAGCCAGATTCCAGTTCTGTTCGGTCCATGAATATTCATCGCGGTCCCGAAAGAGAGTGTGGCCCATCGTGACGATTCCGCTGAAAGCAAGATGTGGACATGAGGATTCGTTCTCTCGGAGCTTATCAGGATGCCACATTCGACGTCATTGCAGTCGAGGTGCAGTGCGAAAGTGGAAGATGTGCATGCCCGAACGAATGAGCCCGCAACATTGCTCGCGACTGCTATTAGGCCTGCCTACGGGATGCCTCTAGAACTCATCACTCGTCATGGAATTTGTCGACATCCGCTGCGGACTTCTGATCGTCCATGTGAAGCTTTTGCAGCAAACATGCATATCCATTCCTTGAAAGCTGCCTCATCCTCATCTCGCCCAAGGACGCCATAGACCTCGACATCCACGCTTTCCCAGTCAACTTGTAGCGAACTGAAATTCCATGTTCCAGATTTACAGCCGGCTACGCAACAACGGAATCCGTAGCCTCGAGACAGCCGAGAGTCCCTTGTACTCATGGTGCTGACGGTTCAGGTCTTCTCGTCAGTCAGCAGACAAGACCATCTCAAATCAAATCACAGAGCTTCCACACATTCCGCGGCGTGGCAACTAAATAACTGAAATCTTTTTAGTGCCTCAGCATTTTATTTTATTAGTAGGGGGCAAATAGCTTAAACTTCAAGGGTTGAAAGTCTTACAAGGTCAAGTCCATAACGAGAAAGTATGCGAATACTCCGTCAAGAGTCACAGGGAACAAATCAACCAACTGTTTATCAAGGGCGAGTCTATGACAGGATTGAGATCATAAATATATCAAACATCACCTATAATCAAGTGATCTACAAATGATTGTAGCATTCTAGGAGTGATTGCTCTTACTTGTATATCACTAGGTATTATTCTTCTTGCAACAATGAATACACTTTATCTGTGATATCGTGTACCGTGATTGTATAGCGTATGTATCACTCAGATTTATTACCTATACAACCATTCTCTATGTACTATGATGAATACATTTTATAACTGTGATTGCTCTCATAATTATAATATTAATCTTTGTACATCAATGCATACGGTTCTCTTCGGTAAATTGTGTGGAAATGACATATGGTATCACTTTCTCTGATGGTTGAGTGCTTTAAAATAGGCTATACAATAGATTACATATGACTAATGTGATAATTTTTTTATTCTCATGTAGTTTTTAGAATAATATGAAATCACACAACATTTTTTAATCTGTAAATTCAACTAATAAGTCATAAAAACATGGGTGTCAGTTATAAAGAGGTCAACATTCCCGGTTTTCAAGTATCCAACGGTGACCCGCTGGCAAATTCAACAATTTCCCCTGCTCGAATCTTGTTCGATCCTTAAAGAAGTGCAATTACATCTCCAACTGAAACCACTCGACCGATCTCATTTACTTGCCGATTTAGCAAACCAATGCTTTCAACCACTCTCCCATCCCTCCCAACAAAACAAATAAAAAATTTGATTACCTTCTCTTCTGCATATGCGCTGATGTAAGAGCTAACATGAACTGCTTTGTCAAATTTCATTGACGACTATAGACAGATTATAATTGAATCAATCCGAGATATCAAATTTTTGATAAACTTTCAAGGTGTAATATCTTGAGGTTTATGTGTACATAAGATATGATACACGTTTAGAATATTATTAAGAAAATTCAAATATTGTGGAGATACATGTAGGTAATAACATGAAATAGATTTTGACACAAACAGAATGGAAGATTGTTTATGATTTTAGTATTCTTTAGCCAAGGTTTCATTTACAACCTTGAGTTTCACATATGATCAAGTTGTAATTTTATCCAAGTTTAAGTTGGACCTGCGAACACTTCTTTGTCCTCTTAATTACGTTGACAGGATTTTTAAATCTTCATCTTGTCTTCATATTGAAGATGTGGATTTGGCACTGTCCAACTCTTCTTGCAATGGTAGACTTCAGTTTGGATAGTAAATCACTTTAATTACTTTAACTTTAACTCACTTTAACTTTAAACTTTAATTAAACTCTAACCTAATTGTAAGTGACAAATGATGAGTTTTTTATATTAGTTAGTTTTTCTCATTCTTTACAATATGGTATGTTACAATATATAAACAATCTTACTATAATATCATGAATAAAAGTTCATCAATTACTATGTAATGCAATAATTGGATGCATCACTTTTTTAATTCTAAGTTAACTAATAAAAATAAGATATTTATTATTCAAGAAGAAACCACTGATAAAATTCATTTTCAAAAATTATTTTATATCTTTTAGACATATAAATCGATCTCAGAACATACGAAATCAACATTAACATGTAGTTTTGATCACCCGTTAATAAGATGAGAATACATGTAACGATCAATGAATAGATTGATACACTTTACGATTTAATATGTTGACAGTATATCATTCATTTCGCATGTGCATCCTAAATAATCCGATATTGATCTTCGTATATTCTTTACGTATGAAAATTTATCTCCTGGTCTTAAAATAATGATATACCTGACATAATATATCACAAGTAAATCTAAATTGCATTGTGAATTTGAAATAGTGATTTATATGAACTGAGTGATGATCACACCATGCTTCTCATGTGTCCTCTCCATCAGACTACGTACTTTGAATCCATTCTGATGTTAACAAAAAGAAATCTTGTTTACCAACTAGCTCAAGAAAATCCCAAGAAGAAAAGCAATACCAAAATATCCCATTCGAAAATGGCTAAAATCTTTCTCAATACAATCTGCACGCACAGCAATGGGATTTGTGTAAATTGTTTTTACCTCGGAAAATATCATCCTGTCATAAATCTAAATCAATATCGAGTTGATCTGTCATTCTTTGATTGACTAGCCGAGGCAAATCTCATCTTTTCTGTTCGAGGTCGAAAACTGTGTACCCTTCGCCTTAATTCTGCGGATAGGCGGAGGAGATTGGTCTGAAGATGTACAATCCGAGCAGGCACTGTCCTTGTGAAAGAGTTTGAGCTTCGGTTCGCTGGACAGCACATGGTTGTCCATAATCCGATGATCCATACAAACGAGTTGCAAGTTTGGCAGGAGATTCACTGTGTGATGATGGAACGACGTGAAGAATGGACATTCTTGCAGGAGGCAATGGTAGATCAAGGTCACCAAACTAAAGACATTCATACGGGCGATCTGTAAACGATATGATAACACAAAGGCCGTTCCGAGCAACAAGTGTTCCTGCTCGCCACAGCGATGCACATGGAGAGATTGCTGACAGCCATAGCAAAAACCTGCCCATACATCTCCTCATGAGGCTACTGAATCCCTCAAATCTTCTCTCGTGTACGATGGCCAGGACGAGGAGACATTAGCGTCCTGCGTGACACATATTTTAACAACAAACACCAAACAAACAATTTATTATATATCATTCAAATCCGTGTGACTTGAATCTAAGTATTCAGGTCCACCAGCTTGTCCATAAGCAGCTTTCACCGATGGAGAAGTTGAAGTCTCACGCAATTGACTCGGCAGCTTACGGCAAGTCATGCAAGCAGAACTACGAGTTCATCCTGTTCAGAAGAACTGAATCAACAGACATGTGCTGATGAGACAACCAGATCTACTTATCGCCAGGTGTCGCCAACAACAGGGACCGGAGTGAAGCTCATTGTCTGCACGAAAATACCTCGAATAACAATAACAAAAAAAACACAAACCAAAAAATAGGGCATTCCTTAATTCAAAATTCGTTGAAACTCAGTGCAAGTGGGCACGAAAAGTTTTTTTCAAAAACAGCGCCGTCCCAGGCGAAAGAACATGGATCGTCCAACATTTCAGTGTTCGCGAGTAATCACGAGTAAAGCATCTCAACTCTCTTCGTTGAAGAATGGGACTTATGAGATCTCTACAATAATTTGAAACAGAGATTATGTTGGGAAGCTCTTCCGCTAATCCACAATCTGCTGCGTTGTTTGTAACATGGATCGAAGTTGAGTGGAAAGATGACATACGCTTCTTGAGTTCGTTATTGAAGACAATGACTGCCAGAGCTCTCGAGGGTAGACACTCTGACAGCTTCAATTCAGGTCGACACCCTAAATCCTTAACCTCGATACGGACTGATTCAATAGACAAACCGAACTAATATACCAATGACCAAGAACGTCAATGTTAGCTCGACACTGTCTTGAAAAAGTCACCAAGACAAATGATTAGTACTAGTAAAGTCGAAGTTGACACTCTGGAAACTATCTCAAGTATTATGTACAACAGATGCCGCCCTAAAGCTTCAATCGCACAATGCCTGCTCCATGCCTAAAAATGTGAGGATTTCACATTCATTGCTCAAAGTGTTCCAAATGCCGTATCAGCTGAGTTCCAGCGTACCTGAGTCAAAATCATACCAGATTTGCAATTGACTGCAACACATTGGGCTATTTTCTCCTGATTCGAAGTTTGAGAAACAGCTTCTCTCTACCTCCAGGCATTGCTAGCCCCTTGGGAAACCGTAATTCCACCTCAAATTCTCCCAATTTGTTGAAGTCTTCAGGCAGAATGATATTCGAAGCGGCAAGTTCAACTCCCATCTGTCTTCTCACCTCAAAAATAAGATCATCCTTCGTGACAGGCTTAAATAATACTTGAGCACAGGTCAAGTGCCTGTGGAACACAACCTTCCCGGCATCCAGCCGCTTCAAGACAGCGTCGATCTCTTTCAACTGTTTCTCCTCGGAGGTTTCAGATTTGGTCTCCTCTGTCTCCTCCAGCAGATGAGGTCTGGCAGCTTTCAACTGCGCGTTCACGAGCGAAACATATTTGTCCAATCCCGGCAGGGCAAGATGATGCGGGATAAGCTTGTTACGTGCATATCCGGGAGCCACATTCACAACTTGGCCAGCACGCCCTAGTCTCTCGATCTTCTCAGTGAGCACTACTTTCAGAGTTTTCATTCCTCGGGATCCAACCGACGAAATTGGATTCTGCACTCTCGACGCTTCTGCACACCTCTGCACTGAGCACCATAAGCGCGCGGCCATGTAACCACGTCCCATGTCGCCCGACGGTCTCTCAAGAGGACGTCCGATTGTCAACCGATCGACTGCTGCACCCCTTACCTTCTTCCTCTACTGCAATTCCTAAGGTTCCAGCTCTGTCCTGCCACAGAGTAGGTTTTCTTCGAGTCGACCATCTCAGTTCGGCGTTTCGTTCAACTCTTTGCTCTTGGTGTCGAGTCCCCTGCAAAACCCCCTCCGCGACTTAGGTACCCGTTCGTCTCGCTCCCGTCTATACTGTGTCATGGACCTTACTTGAACCGTGGCAGTACGTCCAGGCCCGAGGTTTAGTCAACTTTGAAACACCATACCTCTTTCATGGTCGGTCTTAGAGTCATAATCATAGTCTTGCTCCGGTCAATAATTGTTGAACATTTAGAATTGGTCTCATATTCTTCGTACCCATTCATTGTTGTTAATAATATGTTTAACTGGAAGGATAGAATGACCATATTCAAGGTTCCATGGATGAAAACATGGGAGAAGTTTTCAGCTAAACCCCAATTCCATCCCAACGGAAAAGATACCGTGTTTATTACAACATTTCGATCTTTAATACTGTACATTACATGAGTGTATATAAGGGTTCATATAGCATCGTTATTCTCTTGTAGACAATATATATCTTTTAAGAACAATTTGTTTTGGAAAAAAGCACTACACAGCAACATACACAGAGTGATACCCGTAGCCTATTGTAAACTCTCCTTAACTCAACAATTGTATCGAAGTCTGCATTTGAAGTCCGATTGTGCATGTTAATTTGTAGTACTTATCTCATCTTCTTCATGTGGTGCATGAGACATGGAAAAGGGTGGTAAAACCCCACTATCCCATGCTTTTGTTACCGAAACATAGAACATCAAATCTGTTGTCGAGTTCAGTACCTCTAGACCCTACAAGTACAAGTACAAGTTGAAAATCATACTCGTATGACTTTGCAAGTCTGGATCCTAGACGAAATCGGCCATCTATCTGATCTGGGGGATTTACCAGAGATAAACAGGTACCTCTGCATCATGAGACATCGAAATTATGTATTCATCCATCTACAAACGTTCCATCTCAAAGAATTCATCTTTATATGTGATAACCAATGAGGAGTCTCCATACCTTAACAACGGGTAAGATATTTCTATGCCACCTTCCAAGATCAGCTGTATATTGTAGAAGACAAGACTACATGGTTTCGTCTAAAAGCTACCTGCTCATCGTCTTTAGAGTACAAACTTGGACTAACCAAATGTTTTACAAGAAATTCCAATACAAGAACATCTGAAACGAGTATGTACTGAAGGGCATGTTTCCCGTCGATTACTCCATGCTCAGGCATGCCAATTTTCCGATATTACGAATTATTCTGGTAAGAATTCAGCTTTATGTTGCCTGTAGATATTTCTTCAGCAGAAAGACATAGGTCACCTGCGTATGCCAAGGTTCATAGCAATATATTTTATAATCGAGTGCGTACTCGGTTCTCTTACAGCGAGTATTGTGTCAGCTTCCAACCTGTAAGATAGATTGGGACAATGATCTTACAGTGATCTGATGTTAACTGGAAGTACTTTGATTACAACAGATGCATGCCACTGACTTTATTCTGCCAGGAGGACTTCTCTTTCTTCATCAGTAGAAACAAGCTTTACTGTACCGGTCTTCATATAATTCCAGAAGCACAAGATCCCAAAAACAACTCCTACAGCCATACAGTAGCCTCCGAAGACATAGAATTGTTTGGTAATTGAGAGCTGCAACATGACCTGAAAAAGTTGAGATGGAACTAGATTAGTTCAGACAAAACATTGTGCAATTCGGGGTGTGTTTAAATACATATGACCATCCCTTGATTCCAGGATTCCAATAACCTTCATTACTTCAGGAACGGTAATTAGCAACTCAACAAGCCTCTCAATGCCCAAACTAGTTGCTTACACCCATATTCATTTACAACATTATAACATGAGAAGGAATTACTTGTCTAAGATGGAAATTTGTCATTATGCAGGAAGAACTCAATAAGATAAATGCATATGGTTTTGATTACTTACAACTACTCCTTGAATTCCAGATTGCACAAGCAGACTGGCTACAGCAATGAAGCTGAAAAGGAGGATGAACTGCTGATTTGACAAAGATATTGCTGCTTGAACGTACACGAGGCACAAAAGCAGCTGGTTGATGCCGACAGCAGCCACATACAATGGATAGGTCACCATAAGGTTATGGCTCCAAGCCATGATGATGCACAGCAAGCCAATAGAGAAAGAACCACCGATGTAAACAAGTCCACCCCCTCGGGCTGCTATATCAGATAACTGAGCCGCCGCTAGCGCACCAAGACATCCAGCTCCCTGAGAAGCTGCAAGTACATGTCCATTGGTGTTGGACGATGAATCAATGTCGTCGAACAAACTGGTACCATAGTTTGGAATCATTGCAAAACCAGCGGTCCCAAATATCCACCTGTCGTGGAAATTTGAAGGGTTAGCCCAAGAAAACAATCATCTTGGAATGAAGCGGTTCCTTTCGCGGATGTCAGAAACAATCTCTTCACATATCTGTCAAAATTCAGATGAAACGAAGGTCTCTCAGGTAGCCATATGGCTGGTTGCCAGATTGATATTCTAGGTTGGATAGATATTATCAGAGTAGATAGCGAGATGAGAACCAACTATGAACATCTCAATTACAAAAGGCGAACTGAAAACCGTGATATAATTCTTTTAATAAAAAACGTACGAAAAAAGAGAAGGCCCATCACTCCAGATGATAAAAAGTGGCGTCCAGTAAAGAGATTCAGGTTACATGACGAAGTTCTCTATCAAGCTTTCAGATGAGATGGCTTTGTCTTGGTGAATGGTATTTCGGGGCAATAGTGGGACTCTATGTACACTTCAATGACGTCAATCTACATTCTCTCTTCGATGGTGTGCATGAATTTTCCTCCAATTTAGAATTGTATTAGGTAACTCAATTCTTGTCCGTTTACCTAAATTTCTAAAATATGGCCTGCTAACCAGAGTTTCAGTTCCAGAATATGATGGCAAGTCCTGAACTGATAACACCTACCTCAACACATTGGTGACGACTTTTTCTCCAATTTTAACTCATAAGATGTTCTATTAGCTGGGTACAAAGTGAATAGAGGAGAAGTCATTTTGTTGATTAGATGAACTGACAAAAACAACCGAACAAACAACAAAATGACATGGAGTATAGTACGTATTGAATTTAAAACCTAGCATAGAAGAAGTTCTCAGTTGCCGAAGTTCATCAGGCATGCGTTCAGCAACCACCCATGAGCGACTGTCCGATATTCAAACTTATTTGAGACAAAAATTTTCTAATTTCAGCAGATTCCACGTATTGCAAACCCTCGAATTCATGAATCCTAACATTTGGAATAACCTAGCTCATACATGTGACCCGTGCTTTCTCCCTGTGACCTCCTGGAGATGTACTTCAGATTTCGGCAGGGCACTAACTACAATATCAGGTGGAGTAAAGGATCCGGTTATATGCATTTGTGGTGCATGGCCGCAAGTTTCATTCCGGTTGTAAGCATCATATCTTTATATGACTACGACTTTCCCATCATAGGAGGCCATGTGAGCTCCTAAAATAACCTACGTTATGAAAGGTAATCTCCTCAACAGTTGGAATACTCCTTACTACTAGCTTAAAGAGTATTCCAATGGTTGAGCAGATTATCTTTCATAATGCCATAGGACAGCAAAAGCACGTTCGATACGATTTCTAGAATCAACAATTAGAAGAAGCTAAGCTTAAATGTCGTCACACTTTCTACTCATGTTCTTGTGTGGAGATTATCGGTTCCTGTTTTCCCGCGTGACCTTCAATCCAGAATAAAACGAGATTCAGAAAACTGTGGAACTGATAACAACTTAGTGTTGGCAGGTACCACGGAGGTACCCAGGAACTGATGTGCAAACTTGGATTCTATGGATACTGAATAAAGCGCCAGAGGGTGTAGCTAACATAAAAAGTGTATGTGTAAAGTCGCTCCCGCTTGAAGGATTCTTGGCATGCGTCGAGTTACATTAAAGACTGACACCCTACAGGCAACCCCGACATTAGGTCTGCTTAACCCTTGAAATACAGACCTACGTAGAGACGGATACAAGAGTGACCTGACATCTAGGATCTCATGCGGAGGACTTCACTGTCTAGAGAGTAAGCAAAACAAGAATTGCGAAAACTTAGCCAAGAATTCGGATTCTCCCTGCATACAGACTTCGCAGGTTTCCTACAAGACTCCTGATATGATACTTCAAATGGTAACAGGGGGAAGGTTCATCGTCAGACACAGAGTTAAACCTTCCGTACGCAGTGCAAAAGATTAATAGCTGAATACAGCTTAATTAAAATGGTAAAATATACATAGGAGAAAGTTAGTATTTGGGTCTCTCATAGACGACGACAGCTAATAAATTCAATATCTCAATCAAAAACGTCAAGCGATGAGCAGAACCAACCTGAAGAACAGAAAAGTTTAGGCACAAGGTGATTCTCACCAGAATGAAAGCAAACGCAAATTTCTGCCTCGCCATGTCTCTTGGATTTTTTCCAGAATTCCCTGCTTGCAGAAAAACATCTCATAAATTTGTATGAAGGATGTAGATGCGCCTTGATGTACGTGTTTGCAGTTCATAATGCATCTATAGGCTAAAATAGATATCCCAAGTTCTCCAGAGAGCACCTATCATGACGAAGTAAATCTCCGCCTCCGACAGAAGATCAGATATATTCCAAGAAGATGATATAACCCTCCACATTTTAACACTCCCGTATTCTTTACGACGAGTCCTATCCATGCAGATCTATTCATGACTTTAATAAGAACTATACATAATCTATGAAGTTTGTTACCTGACGTTGCAGACGATTGATTTTCAGAAGTCCCCATTCTTGAGCTTCAGAATCCTCTTTTGGGAGGAAGAACGATATGATACATGCTATGGCCACCTACATTAGTCCAAGATCAACAAGTCAGTCAAGTCACTGTTGCCTGTCAAAGTTAGTCGCACAGACACACTTTCATGGTGTGTCTGCGACAAAAAAGCATCTGGAAAACACTGCATTCTCGATTACATAGAATTGAGGAAGAAAAGTACTTACGGATAATATGGTTATCTCAAGGAGAGTCACTAAAGATGCACCATGATTAACTAACCCCTGACCTGCAAGCATAGAACACTTAACGGGAATTACTACGCGTGTACTTGACTTGTACAAGGAGATACGGAACGTTCGATTCTAGTGGTACTACGAACGACAGTTTAGATGTTCCAGGTCACCTAGTTCAGCAGCCATCATATACGAAACGAGCGTCGAAGCTTGTGTGTAACTCGTCTGAGATCCCACAGATTACCAAAACAGTAAGGAGAATACCTAGGAAGACATCACGTAAGTAATGGGACGACTTTTCATTGCATAAGTAACCAGCTATCATTTAAACATCGTAGAATCCTTCGACACATTTGACTTTTCCCAACCATTCTGAAATTATCACTGCTTTCGGTGATGCCGCAATATGAGAAAGCCAACAAATGTGGAGCAAAGTGCAATCCATTTACAAGGCAGATTTCGGTGTACTTGACAATATCAATCATCACCATCCTGGGGTTCGGATTGCTACCATGCTTTGGTAATCCTTTTCAGGAACGAGCAGGAAAATGTATGAATAAAAAACCAAGTCTGCCGCTGCACCCAATCCGTAAGTAATCTGCAAATAAACAACAAGAGTGAGACTCGTCTATTAAGAGTTCATCACGAACTTTCTCACTCTTCTAACCTAATTCACATAACCGAAATCGAACTACCTTGTGGAGCTCATGTAAGCCGAAAAGCAATCAGTTTCTCGAAACTTTACCTGCGTAATCTGCATTGAGAACAATGACTTCCCAGAGAACAAAATTGAGAATGTTGCTAACTTGCCAAATGTACCTGATCATGTACGAAGATCCATGTCAGCAAGGGAATGAACCCAACAGGACGGTTAACTTTTCTTCACATCTCACTTCAAATACCGCAATTCTGTCACCCGAGATATGGTAAGCATCCTCTCAGGCTTCTGGCGATGCAGATATTCACTTGCTATAAGCACTTGTCAACCTGGACTTTCGGTGTATGATTCTTATATGGAGAAATCACCGAATAATATCTACCTACCCATTATAATTACTGCCCGATAAGAGAAGAAGTGACACGCCGGAGCAGCTAACAAAGTGAAGAAAAGGGTCGAATAAACTCCAACTGGAAATATGTCGATGTTCACCTGGCCAAAATCGTGTATCCATTTCCAAGCAAAGCTTAGTAGGAATATCAGCACGTTGTGGAAAGGAAAAGGCAGAGGAACTTCGATTAACAACGAGATGAGGAGCTCGAGGGCAAACCAAAATGGCAATAAACACAGATTTACTCTTGCTGCCTGTGGACATCCTGCGTACTAATCGACGAGAGCTAACACATCCACATTAGTACCGACGCAGTGAGAGAATTCTTCCAGAAAATAAAAGTCTTATGATTACCAAGACGAGAGTTGCAGCCACAGGCAAGTTCCAATAACGTATGCAAGTGGACCTGACTTACTAACATCCTTGGCTTTTAGTACACCGTAAGAAAATGACCATTTTGTCAACACTCTTCTCTCAAAGAGTCACGGAATATGTCACATATGCAATAACAAGTACAATGTCGTAGCTTCTAGCTAACAGTTCCGCACCTAGCCCGCTGCAACGGGCTAGGTACGGAATTCACGAAGAGTGCTGTTGTGGAGGCCCACAACTCCAAAGCTAAAGAGTAAGCTACAAAGGAATGTAGCTATACATCTGCAAGATTTCTGGCTCTTTAATTTTTTTAACTCTTTGTTTCTATATATTGGCGGGGGGGGGGGGGCGAAGCATATAGCTTCGCCCCCCCTTATTTCGGGAGATAGCGCACACTACATTGAAACGGAATCTGCACCGAGGGGAAAGTGCTAAATAGTTTATCAGCATGCCCTGAGAACGTATAAGTGGCGCCTATGGACCATGAATTTACTAATATGAAAATTAGGAGAATGAGTGGCGCCGCCAAGGATGCGCTGCGCACTGCAAGTTCAAATTGGAACCCTATCGCAGGTTGAGCATCTGCCGTTTTTGCGGGAGGGGTCGCTTTGTAGAATATAGGTGCATATTTTAAGCATAAAGAAGAGGAGATCGAGTTATCCTCGCAACAATCAAAAAAACGTATTGCAATGGAGGGGATACGTGCAAACAAACGTATTAAGCAAACAGAGTTGGGTTTTAAGCAACAGGAACAAGGTTTAAATCTATTTAATTCTTTAAGACAGCACGAAGATATAAGGGGTGCCCAAACTTTGGAATACCTAAAACTCTTCAAAGAAAGCTACGCCGATTACCTTATAACATCGGGATATCTCAACTGGAAGATATTCCTTGCCCAGATATTCCAGGAGATCTATGCCCTACATTCACAGAATTTCTAGATTCCTTTACAGTGGGGAAGGATGATCTAATAAGCAGAATTTGTAGAAATATAAGTCGAATTCGCTTATTTACCTCCTCGTTGCTTATTAGCTTGACTCGAGTGAGGTAGGGCACCAAGTAGGGTTCCGAAGGTTGAAATTGAAGGAACATAGTGTAGATAATCAGAATGGCAAGAATGGGCACTGTCCTGCTGGACAAACATGAATTGCTCCATTCTCCAGGTACTTTCGCTCTCACGGAAATAGCACATTTTTCCGATTCCTCGGGCTGTGACTGTTCATGCGACTGATCGCCATCTTGGACATGACCTAACGGCATTTTGGTTCGATCGCAATCCCTCCGTAATCAAGATCACGATAAGTAAACGTTCTTCCTTTTCTACCGAAAGATGAACGTGCCTTGTTTGTATTCATGTCAATGGGGAGCAAAATAAACATGTCCCCTCCACTTGCTTCATAATGCAGTATTTTATGAAGGAAGAACAAAAACTGCTTCAGCTCGTGCCTTGATCGTCGTAGACATAATCCACAACTTGCTTGCTCGAGAATCAACCAATTCTGTATTCTGCGTTGCAACACATCGATAAGAACACTATCATATTCTTCATATCCATAATCATTCAACGATGATGCAGTCGAAGCAATCTTCCAATTTCTATGTTGTAATTCACGGAATTTCAAAGTTCGATCAAATTATAAACTTCATTGCACTAGAGTTCCTCAGTAATGTCCAGGTTACTGATACAGACACGGCAATTCAACGTCTTGAGTACATCGACCAACATTTACCATGAATAATGCCAAAGACGCAAGTAGATGTAGCGCAACAATTCGCTTCCTCTCACCTAATCCTTCGCACTCCGATAACTCACCTTCGGATCGCCCACAAAGTTCTCAACATGAGACTTTAGTGGGTAGACGCTACCTGCACTTTTCATGTCGGAAAGATGCCCAAAAGTGTTCTGAAATTTGTCAGCTCAATGCTGTCCAGTGCCCATAACAGCTATTGATTACTGAAGCCGGGAAATAAGATCAACGTTTCTTCGCTGAAACTGTAACCGCTGTCAGGACTGTCGCTGCAATTTTGACTCACAGATGTCGCAGGACCTCCGCTATAGAGACACGTCCAGTAGTCTGCCTTCCCGTCTCAAGCGTGTTCCTATCACCGGTGGGACTTCGAGGCCCCTGTAGCTGGAGTTCAAGTCCTACAGTAGTTCTTTTCCGACGTGCCACTGATTGATAGGTCACAGACTGCGAATACGTCAAAAACCTCTTGACTATGACGAGCTCTTAAGCTCAGATACGCCACAATGATGTATATTTAATTTTGGAACGAGTGTGCGACAATGCTAGGCTCTGAGCTGATTGGTCCCCGTTCTTTGGAAGCGTTTTCACGAAGTTGCTGTTGCTCAGTACAGTGCCTGTAAGGCAAGTTTCACCTTGGCGACTGGATGGAGACAGTGATCCTTTTATGCCCTACTCCAGTGCCGGCAGGTGATTAGGGGGTATCATTCCATTACGTGGCTATGGTACCGAACGTCATACATGCAGATGACGTGACGCAGCATTGATCCGCGTCCTTTCATTCCTAGAAATACGAAGAACTCAGCTCAGAGTTCCGTCTTGGATCGTGAACAGCTCAACGAAGAATTTCTCGAGAGACAACCATCACATCTTCTGACACTCCCAAAATATTTGCAGTCCTCACTGCCCAGTTTGTCTTCCACTCTCTGGCGGCAATATCTGCAATATCCCTTCACTCATTACCTTCAGAAAATCATCCAATTTTCTAGTGAAAACTATGTAGACCTCAGGAAAGGATAAACATCGGATAGTCTGGAAAGTCCTTGCTCAGTTCCCACCCTGTCACTCAGCTACAGCAACGACCTCCTTCCAAACTCTTCCCTCTCGTTGCCAATAGTAATCAAAACGAGAAGTTTAAGTTGAGTTCAATTGGTAAATAAAGTGCCCATACCACTTAAACCCCACCACCATTTTTGCTATGATCTTAGTATGAACCCCCTGGATCATACTAAGGCCGGAGCAAAAATTTATCGATGGGCTGATCAAGGAGCACACTTCGCTATGAACACATCTCGAACGATGCAACGCTGCGTTATATTGCCTGATATACTAGAATTCAATGTAGGAAAGTTCATTCTGAATGGGTCAAAAAATCAAGGGACTTGAACACAGTTCTAGAGCAACACGCTGAGAGCACAGAAGAACTGCACCACAAAACATAAAGCTTACGCGTGTCTAGTCCCACCCGACATGACACCATGCACTCCGAACAATCACAGAATTTATTCTTAATAATCCCGTGCCAAGGCCGATGCCACATGTCTCTCATACTCTCATGTCACTTCTAATTTCTTACTGCAAAATCTACAGGGAGAAAACTCTCTTACGAGGCATCACTTTGGACCGATCCCGTCTCGAGCTGGGGCATCATGACGTGAGGGCATCATGACGTCCAGTCAGGGCAAGGCCGAAACATCGTAACACGCATCTCTCTCGTTCGCAGGCTCGACGGAAGTGTAAAGTTCCGTTGACGATCTGCACCTACACCTTCTCTCACCCGTCCATCGCTGTTGAATGAACCGTTGTGTTCCACTAATGCTGTGATATGAATCAGTCTTGTCTCCTGCACAGCCGGTCTTCTTTCTTGTCCTTGTAGTTTCCTACCCTACGGCTACGTGGCAATTCTCGGTGGAAAAACCAAATTACATATTGTATTCATCTTCATGTTGATGTCTCCTGGATGATAATCTTCCATGCAAACATAATTAGACAAAGTTGCCAAAGATGTGTTGCGATATTTCTCCTCGTTATCAAACTCTATAATTTAGATCTTCAATTCAACGTCTTGAATTGTCACGAATCTCAAGGACACTATATTATAATTGAGTAAGAATTTCTTACTATTCACAACTTTATGTCTAACTTGTCAACCAACTAGCATTACTTTACAAGTAAATATTTGGATGAATTTATAGAACATTTCTACATAAATTACAATACGTATGGTTTAAATTGGTTGATAAAACATTTTTCTAGATTGTATGTTATTATAAAACTGATCTGCATACAACAGTAATATGAAAAATGAATAAGATGCATCATTATTTTCTCAACAATTTTTTTATTATATAATTTAACATTGGTTAAAATCCATGGTTTCATGAATTGAAGTCCATTCTTCATGTGTGTCATATATGACAATGGTGTGATCAATTCCTTCCTAAGATTGATCTGTAGGTGTGTTGGTGTGGGCAAGAGAACACATTCACTCCGCAATTACTTTGGGATTACTTTTGGATAGGAAGCATTTGATTCCTCGGGCTTTCATCTACAGCATAGTCTAGATGGCGGGAATATATGCTAAGCAAGAATTGTGAAGGGATTGCAAAAAAATTGATTCTAATTGCTGGGCGGCGCGACGAACACAGTGAGAGCGGATTTCAGCGTTGACATAGGTCTGGCAATAGAAATCATCGGGACTTTTTTCCTAGTTTACGAGATCTACTCTGCCACTGATGCTAAGCATAAGGCCAAGAACTCGCATGTGCCGATAGGTTTGATGACCATTATATCTGAGGGTTCTTGAAGTGTGGATTCTCAGCTGAATCCAATTATAGCTACTGAAGTTGGATCAAAGTCATAGAAATCATATTGAACTTGTTCCAATGGAAGACAAATTTTGATGCTAGGAGGCATTGTGATCTCGCAAGTGGTCGTTCCATTGTCCATCAGGCTTGTAATTTTTGTTGTACATCTGGCAATCATTCCCATCACTTGTTGTGGAATCAATCCAACACGGAGCTTCGGCTCGGTGACTAGAGATACTTAATCCAAGTAACTTCAGATTGTAGTGTACACTTTTTCATTGTTGACAATACACTCACTCTCGCATGTTCAAAGCGTGGACGTAGCCTTGCATGTGGATATATCACGTTATCTTCGTTACCGTGTTTATCATCTCGTGTTTACTCTAGCTAATTGTCATCTAGTTGTTGTTGTTTTACGTGTCTTGAACTGATAAATGATTTCAGAGTTTGATTATGTTAGTGACTGCACAGTGATAATGAGTTTGTGATGATTTTTGAGTTTTATACCAGTTCGAGAAGTTATAGACTTGTGACTTGTATGTTTAGAAGACTACCATGGTGGCCATGTGTGACATGTTTGACAATGTTTTTTGTGTAGTCTCGAGTCAAAGGCAAATTTGACAACGACATGTCATTTTTTGTCGAAATTCCGACGAAAATGGTTAACTTAATAAACATTATCAAACTATAGGTAATCATAGTCATAACTTGATACACTTAGTTATAACTAGCTAGTTTTAGTGATACCTAAGCTAATCATGATGAACTCCTTGGCTACTTCTAATTCTATTTAACACATACAACAATTAGTCTTACAGTAACTATCTATGAATAACTTTACACTCTGTGGTAGTGTTTTTATCATTTCAATTTGCCCGTTTGGCAATTCAATTTCCTCACTTGCGTCATTCATCAACATCAAATCTAACTTCATAGCAATATTCATTCACAGAAGATTCTTTGTTGCTTCAAAATCAATCAAAACTCTCACCTATGTCCTTTCATCAAACCATATGTGACAATGAGCTGAACTTGCTTTTTGCTTCTTCCATGAGCTCCCAACCATTATCTTCGTTCAATCTCTCCTTTTCTTCTCTTTGTGGAAACAGTAAGGCCGCGAGGCAAGTATACTGGTGATCTTTGTTTTCCATAACTTCTTCCTCAACTTACTCATACTCCAATCAATCCAAATTATTGAATGGTCGTCGTTGTATGAGCCATCCTTCTTGGTGCGCCGGTTGATATTTGTGAAACTTGGCAATGTGATCCATTCGTCTACATGCATAACATTGACAATTATCACAAACTCTTGCTCCTTCTCGTAACATTTCATTATTTGTATTACTTTCTTGCAAATTTAGAATATCTTGGTTGTCGTATCTCATCTTCAAATCTTGGAGCATGTCCTTGAGCTAATGCCAAATCTTTTCTATGTCAAAGTTATACCAACTTTATTAACATATAGTCAAATGGATCTTGAAAAGTGCTTAATGGTTCACAACGTGTGACACCAGAAGCTCTCAAAATTTGTTGATCAAATGTGATTGCTTCGTTCGCTATGGATGTGTTGTTTACCATCACGTCTTTCTAAATGCGATCTTTCAAGCCTCGTTTGAACTCATCTAAGGCTTTTGCTCCACACATATCCATGATAGATATTTGAAGATCACAAAATTTTTCTATGTACTCATGGATATATTCATTCTGTTTCAAATTTCACAAGTCCATTATTGTTGTTTGAAGATTATCCACTGTTTGAAACTTCTACAGAAGTCTTTTTTACATTTCATTCCACAAAATGATAATATGTCATTCTGAAATCATTTATTCCCATGTCGTGTACCATGTGAGAACCTTATCAATAAAATAAGATCTCATGAACATTGTTGCAATATAATGTAAGCATCTTTAGTTAGTGATAATTAAAGTAGAGGTTACTTAAGATTGAGTATAGTAGATCATAATGGAATATTTCCAGTGCCACGTCAGTAATCAGCGTGCTAGTTGGTATGTTAGTTGGGAAAAACACTTCATCAATCCGTGTGCTTGTTAAGTAACGATTTAGTGTGCTAGTTGGAATAACACGTTTGCAATTCATGTGCTCATTAGTTATATCTGCCATGTCATCAATCCACTAGAAAAAGAACTGTTGATGGGAATGAAATCTTATCTACTTGTTGCACTTGTTGGTAAGAGCTATATAAGGAAGAGTAGAATCATTGTTGGTATTTTTCATTTTCAAAGTTTATGTGCCAGCGAACTTATCTCTAAACCCTAGTGTTAAAATGGTATTAGAGCAACCTTGCTCTTTCCTTGAGTGTGAATTAACCTTCATAAAAAAACAAGTGAGTGACAATAGAATGCAGTTTTGAAAGTGTGTAGAGGTTGGCAAAAGTTATTGATTTGCATGTAGAGAAAAGAGGAGAGGAGGAAATTTTGGATTTGCAAATATGTATGAGCTTGATAGGATTCTTATAATGCACTGGCTGATTATTAATCTATCCCATACTCATCTTTGTAGCATAAAAAAATATCATTTTTGAATGTACATTTTAACTTGTTGAGGTGCAGATTTTATGACAAGAGTGATGGAATCAAGAGTGCCATTGATTATTCCATTAGTTAGTTATAGAGAGACTTGGAATTGTACTATACACATTTTATACTGAATGTTTGATGGATCTGAATCGTGAACCACTTGTCCAGGTTTGGTTGAACACCTATGTAGAGATTAAAACTGTATATCGACAAAAGAGATTGTGGAGAGATTTTCTTATCAAAAATTATGGAGAAGGGTATTATAGACCAGTTATAGAATTACCTATACCTTTTGTGACTCCTTTGTTGAGAAGTTAGATAGTGATTATACTTTCTTTGTATTAGAGTAAATGTGAGGAAGCATGAAAACATCAATCGATATAGGTGAGGTTTTCAACACAATCATGACAGAGATGAAGGAGTTGAGAAAAACGATAATAGATGTACATAACAAGTAGCAAGCTATGGAAGATCAAATCTTTGCATTAAAAAGTGATAATGTAGAGAAAGAAAGAGTTCAATAGTTCAAGTTCAATCGAAACCAACTCTTATTGCTATAACAAAGTCAAATAGAAGACGTCTTCAAGAGATTGAAAATCAAAAAAATCTTTTGCTTTGAATGGAAAAAATCATGTAAGGTGAAAGCTTACAAAGGGAGTATGGAAGGGAAGTTTTAGAGAAATGGATAATGAGTATGAATATTCATTTATCACATTTTCATGTTTCTAATAAAATTGCAAAAATATTCATGAGATCTTATCTTATGGATAAGGCTTTTACGTGATACACAACATGGGGGAGAATGCTTTCAAAATGACATGCTATACTCTTATGGAATGGAATGCAAAAAAGACTTTATGCAAAATTTTTAAGCAGTGTATTCTTTTCAAACTGCAAAAATGAGATTGTTGGATATGAAGCAAAAAAAAGATATCCATGAGTACATTGAAGACTTTTGTGATATTCAAGTATTTATCATCAATATGAGTGGAGCAAAAGCCAGGACGTGTTCAAACGAGGCTTGAAGGATCGCATTTGAAAGGAGGTGATGGTAAGCAATCCATCTACTGTGAATGAAGCAATTGCAATTGTTCAACAAATTTTGGGTGCTTTTGGTGTCACACACGGTGAACCAGTAAGAAATTTTTGTGATCCATCTGGCCCAACACCGATGGAGTTGAGAAACCTTCGACGTAGAGAAGGTTTTGCACCAACAAGAGGACCACCACCAAGATTTGAGGGTGAGATTCGGCGACCAGGAGTTCCAAATTTGCAAGAAGGTTATGCAAATAACGGAATGGTTCGAGGAAGAGCTGGAGTTTGTGACAATTGTCAATGCTATGCATGTGGACGAATGGGTCACATTGCCAAGTTTTGTCGAATTCGGCCGACACCACAAGGAGGACGGCCCATGCAGCGACGACCGTTCAACAACATGGAGGGGATAGAGTATGAAGAGGTGGAGGAAGAAGTTTCGAGTAACGAAGATCACCGGTTAACTTGCCTCGCAGACTTAATGGTTCTACAAAGCCAAAAAAAGGAGAAGTTTGAAGAAGACAATGGTTTGGAGCTCATGGAAGGAGTAAGAAGCAAGCTCAACTCATTGTCACTGATGGTTTCATGGAAGAACACAAGGTGAGAGTTTTAATTGATCATGGAGCAACTGAGAATAATCTATCAAAGAGTGTTGTTATGAAGTTAGGTTTGATGTTGATGAAGGACGAGAGTGAAGAAGTTGAATTGCCAAACGGGCAAATTGAAGTGATAGAAACATTATCACGGAGTGTAGAATTATGCATAGGTAGATACAAGGAGAGCATTGAATGGAGAGTAATTCGTTTAGCTCAATATGATGTTATCCTTGGAATGCCATGGATGGAGCAATATAATCCGAAGGTAGATTGGAGAAGAAAAGTAATTACAAGTAGTGGATGGAGGATCTATAGAGAGAGAATTAGATCTCAAAATAGGAATTTACCCCTCTTTGTGATGGGTACAACATCCACTTCTAGAGATGATTTATGTTTCCTTGGACTTATAAGAAATATTGAGTCCACGGACAAACCTTACATCCCGGAGTCCTTGAACGACATTTTTATGGAGTATAAAGATGTTTTTCCAGATGATCTACCTGCACGATTATCACCAAAGAGACGAGTAGATCACAAGATTGAGGTGATACCTGGAAGTACACTCACTTGCAAAGCTCCATATCGTTTGGCTCCAAACGAATTGGAAGAATGCAAAGCTCAAGTGGAGGAGATGTTGAGCAATGGATTCATTCAACCAAGTGTTTCACCTTATGGAGCTCCAGTGCTCTTTGTGAAGAAGAAGGATGGATCCATGAGACTATGTATCGATTATCGCGGGTTGAATCAGCAAATGGTGAAAAACAAATATCTATTACTTCGTATGGATGATTTGTTTGATCAACTTCAAGGAGAGAAATACTTTACCAAGCTAGATTTGAGAAGCGGCTACAATCAAATTCAAATTGCAGATGAAGATGTCCACAAGATAGCTTTTTGTACTAGGTATGGACACTTTGAGTATCTAGTGATGCCTTTTGGTGTCACTAATGCACCAGCTACATTCATGGAATTGATGAACGATATCTTTCGCCCTTATCTAGATAAATCTGTCATTGTTTTTCTAGATGATATATTGATGTATAACAAAACTTTGTGTGATCATAGAAGTCATT